AGGTCCCTGATTTCACCCAGTGTCCCTGACAGGCAAGGTGACCCTTGCTAAAATTGCCTGCTCTAATGATAGACATTAAGAACTGGAAAACGGGGCCTCCCTGTTATGGGGAGACTTAACAAGGGGCTAAGTCGTACCACTAGGATCCCCAGTCAGGGAGTGACCCACAGAGCACAGCAGACTGATCTGTCTTGCCCACGGCTCCCCTCGGCCATGTATTCCAGTAGATATGCCTGTTCTGCTCCCCACTCTGTTTCTGGTGAATCCTCTCGCTCCCCGCACCTCAACCAACACCCTTTCTTGTATGCATAAATAACCTTTAAAAAAAAAAAAAGAGCGGCCTTCCTGGTGGTGTAATGGCTTAATGGCTTAAGCTGCAGTACCATGCAACACTACACGCAGCCACTGCAGAGCAAGTTTAATACCAGCCAGGAGTGACCCACAGGGAGCGCCTGTCTCCCCGCTGCTCCCCCCAACAGTGGATTTCAGTGGATCCGCCTGTTCTGTTCCACATTCCGTCTCTGGTGAGTCCTCTCACCCCCCCCCATCTCTGGCCTGCCCCCCCAGCTCTTATATGCATAAATAAGTATTTTTTTTAAAGAAAAGAACTGGAAGTCCCCAAAACCAGCATCACTGGCACCGCTGGTTGTGAGAGAAGGCAGACGCTCAAGGCCCCAGGCTGAGCGGAGCAGCTGCCAGGAGTGAGGATGGCAGAACCGGGCCTGGCGACACGTCAGAAACGGCAGGTTCCAGCTTAACCTGTGCAGGAGGATTGCGACGACGACGACGGACACAAAAGCCGCTGGTGCTGTCTGGGAGGAAACACGGCAAGCAGGCCACCGCGGGGCTGGGGCCACCCAAGATGGTTCTTTTACTTTCTCCAGTGTTTAACACGTGTGCTACTCCAATCCAGATAAAAGTGTTTCGACCTCAGGTGCCACACATGGCCCTCCACCAACAGGCGCTCAGCACCCGAGGCGGGGCTGCTGGGGCGTTGGAGCAGGTTAACCCCAGTCTCTTACACTCGCCCCGCCGAGCAGAGCAGGGCGCTCAGGCGGGGACGCTCACAAAAGACGGCTTCTTTAAGGCCCTCGGGCCTGCGCTCCAAACCTGCCTGAAAGACCAAGAACAGAACTGCTCGCTCTGAACGCGAGGGCTCTGCCAGTGGGAGTCCCAAAAGCTTCAATCCCACCCCGAGGCCCTGCTCCCAGAGGCGAGAGCCATACCTAGCGCACCTGGGTCCCGCTCCCGGGGGCCAGGGAGGGACGCTCAGCAAGAAACAGCCATGCCCAGGGGTCCTCCAAGACAATCCTGCCTTCAGGGGACCTCGGCAGTATTGGGGATCTACACGGGCATTTGATGTGGGCAGGGGAGCAGAGCTCCTGGCATCGAATGGGTGGAGCCACAATGGCACTCAGCCCCACAGTGGCCCCAATGTCCTTTCCACTCTTCCTTCAACCAGCTTCAGAGCGTCCATCCAGAAGCAGGAGACCCCCGCTCCTCTGACACACTGCCCACCAGCAGGCAAGCACCGCCCTCACACGCCCTGCTCAGACCCCCACATAAAGGTAATGCTTGTCTCTACTGCAGCTTCCGCCTCACTTCTTTTCCTGGAAGGGGGGAAACAAGGCAGATCACACTCAAAGACAAAGCACCAGACACTTTTGTTTATCACAGACGGCGAGAAGCCACCTGGCATGAAATCTGCAGGTAGCCAGTCTAGAGGGCAAACAGCCAAGGGGTGGCATGGCCAGGTCCACTGGGCAGTGACAGCTGGCGTCTTCCTCTCACTGCTGCTGCGCACTCCTGTCCCCAGCCACTCCTCAGAAGACATGAAACCCACCCTCTGTAGGGCAACAGGTTTCCTGCTCAGAGCTCCCTGGAGAAACAGGCCTCACCTTCAGGATTGCAGCCCGCAAAGGGCCGCGCGGTCTAATCTGAGGCGTGGGAACGAGGGCTGTAAGGGGAGGCTGCTGCAGCCAGAGCTGGGCCGCTCCTGCTCCGGCTTCTACCCTGACCAGGCCTCCCTCCACACTCCTGTACTGCTTTCCAGGCCTCCGGGTTACCTGCCAGTCCCAGGGGAAGGCCCTGAGCTTGACATCCGACAGGGACAGAGGGCTGTGGACCTGCAAGTGCTGGGCCGCAGGACACGGCAGGCAGCGGTGGGGAGGGCAAGGGCCCGACTGCCCGCTTCTACCCGCCTCGCCCCTTAGCAGTCATGCACACAGGTGAATGACGGCCCTGTCAGGACTGTTTCTCCAGCTATAAAACGGAAAGAGAGAGCCTGCCTGAGTGTGCTGATAACCCAACACCGCCAAGGCCAAGGCCAAGGCCGGAGGTAGGCCTGGGCGAGGGGGCTAAGTCTGACGGGCCAGAAGGATTCTCTCTCACCAGACCGCTGGGCCTCTGCAGAAAGGCACAGGCCGTCAAGCCAAAGTTCAAGATATTGGGCCACACAGGGAGGCCTGCATCCCATCCTCCAGACAGCTCCCACCCAGCACTTAAGGACCCCGACGGCTACTTTAAAAAAGAGCCCAGGCGAACCTGACCCAGCCCACTAATTCAGTCCCTCTGGCCAGGTTGTACAGCTCTGGTAACAAGTGGATCTAGCTGAAAGCTACGCTGCTGCCGCCTCTTTCCCTCAAGTCTGATGGGAAGTGAACTTGTCACAAACTGGAGCTGAGGGAGCTGAAAGGGAGGGGAAGGGCTTAGCATGTTCTCTCTCCTGGCACCTCTGATTCAGCCTGAAGAGCACATCAAAAAGGAGAAAACAGAAGATGAAGGGCCCCACGTCCAAGTAAGAAGCTGAGCTGGGATTTGACCCTGCTCTCTGGAAGGGAAGGAGGTGTTCAACCAGAAGGTATCCAGAGACGTTCTCCCTAACCAGAGACTCACCTGCAAAAGGGAAAAGGGGGGGGGGGAGGAATCAGGAGTGTGAGGGGAAGGAGACATATTGGGATACTGGGTAAGCAGCTGTACTTTTTCCCTATAGAAAAGTGAAATATACAAAACTACAAACAGGCCTCAAAATGATCCTTTCAGAAACTAACTGGCCAGGCCCTTTCTGGTGGCGCAACAGGTTAAAGTGCAGCACTGTGAAGCTGTCCGCAGCCACTGCAGCGCAAGTTCAATCCCCGGCCAGGGAGTGACCCACAGGGCGCAGCAGACCTCGCCTGTCTCCCCGCTGCTCCCCTCAGCAGTATTACAGTAGATCTGCCTGTTCTGCTCCCCACTCTGTCTCTGGTGAATACCCCTCCCCCCGCACCTCTGACCTGTACCCAGTTCTTATATGAATAAGTAAATCTTAGAAAAAAACAAAACTGGCTATTTGTGATGTAGAGAGAAATCAAGAGTGACTCGGCAGGGGAAGAATGAGGAATCAACATCCCAGAGCTCAGGTGACTAAAACCCAAGGGCAAGACAAGCCAGGATGTCGGCGTCATGGGGGAGTGGGCCTGCTGTTTTTCCAACGGTGACAAACCCAAATGTCAGGCAGCTCCTTGCAGAATGTCACATGCAATGCCGGTAAGTAAATAAGTCAAGAGACTGCTGTAAGAGGGTAAAAATTAACCACATGAACTGGGTGCCACTGCTTCTAAGATGACACCCACACACGACTCTTCCCCAACTCGCTGCCCCCATCAGAAATGGGGGGAAGGCACAATCTGATGCTACCTGTGGGCACATCTGTCTTCCTTCTCAAAGGCAGCTTCCTGCACCTCATGAGGCTCTGAATACCTCACACCCCAAACAGGTGTGCAGCTAGACAATGAACGCTTGCCTCTGGCTGGCTGCAGCTGCTGGTGCCTGAAGCTAAGTAATGGGGAGCAACTTGAGAGAACCCTGTTATTCCCCCAACAGAATGAGGAAACAAGCCTATCGTTTTTTAACCTAGCAAGGGTGCTCTCCTTTTGACCAAATTAGATTCTGAGATGAGAATCACTGTTTTATGGGGTGAAAGAACATGAGAAACTGAGACAGGGGCCTTCCTGGTGGTGCAACAGGTTAAAACACAGCACTATGAAGCTGGCTGTGGCTGCTTCACCACCAGGTCAATCCCTGGCCAGGGAGCTGACCACATGGTGTGGCAGACATCTCCTGTCTCCCCCACTGCTCCCCTCAGCAATGTATTTCATCTCTCTGCCTGTTCTGCTCCCCACTGTGTCTCTGGTGAGTCCTCTGAGCACCCCCACACCTCTGGCCTGTACCCCAGTTCTGTATGCATAAATAAATAAATCTTTAAAAAAAGAAACTGAGGGCTCTCCCTGGTGGCACAAGGGGTTGAAGGACCACACTGTGGAGTTCTCAGAGGCTACTGCAGCACGGGTTCTATCCCCAGCCAAGGAGCTGACCCACTGGGCTCAGCAGACCTCTCCTGACCTGGCCGCTGCTCCCCTCAGCAGTGTACTTCAGTGGATCTGCCTGTTCTGCTCTCCCCGCTGTGTCTCTGGTGAATCCTCTCGCCCACCACACCTCTGGCCTGTACCCCAGTTCTGTAAGCATAAATAAATAAATCCTTAAAAAAGAAAAGAAAAGAAACCGAGACAGATGAGGAAATCAGGGTCTGTTAGAAGGGGAGAGCCGGTCGCGAAGGGCAGAGGTCAACAGTGAGCGCCTGAATTTCCCTAGGAAATTCCTCTGCCCTGGGAGCGCTTCCTTGCAATTTCCCATTCTGAAGGCCTCACTCCAGCCTCCCCAAGGGACCCTGCCAGACCCTTTGCGGCGCTCACAAAATGTTGCTCCGGCATTGACAATCACCAGGGTGATGGGATGTGCACCCCACCAAAGCCTCTGCCCAGACACAGCGGGGGCACCCGCCACCCCAGCGACGCCGGTGCAGTCGGCTCGACGGAGCCCCCGCAGTGGGTGCCCCTAACCCCCAGAGCCCCCTGCTGCCGACAGCGGTGGCCACGACCGAGGCGCGGCCAGGAAGGCGGTGCGGCGACAAACAGGGACCGCCACGAGCACCGGGTCGGGGGTGCGGCGGCAGCGACACCCACCAGGCGCCCGGGCGCGGCCAGGGCGGGAGTCAGGGTCCTCGGTCCGCCAACCGGCACTGGTGAGCTCGCTTCCCGGGCGCTGCCCTCGGCCTGTTACCGCACCCACCCCCGCGGCAGGAACGCACGTCTTCTGGCTGTTTACTCTTCACACTAGCGGAAACGGAGGCTCCAGGGGTTCCGCCACTTTCACCTGAGCCCGGGAGGGGAGGGCTCCCGCTCCTGACTTGGGGGGGGGGCGCGAGCGTGTGAGGAGGGGGCCGGGCCAGCCCCAGCGGTGGCGTCCAGACCCGGGCCGGGAAGCCGAGCCCGGGGCAGGCGGGCGGGCATTACCTGC